ATTTAGTAAAAATAATTCGATCCTCGTAACAATATGGAGAGATTGAGTGAGGTAAAAGTGAACGATTATAAAATTATGTTAAGATTAAAGACCTACAGAACATGAACTTGAAGGTACTGAAGTCAGCTCTCCATGTTGGGATAAGTTGGTTTTAAGCGTCGCTAAGAGTCAAAGACAGTTTGGTGAAAAGTTTTCGAGGTCTCAGGTCTCAGGTCTCAGGTCTCAGGTCTCAGGTCTCAGGTCTCAGTTCTAAGTTTCCGGGACACCTTCCCTCCTTTGATATGCAGGATCGTAATTAATGTTTTATACAAATAAAGTTATAGAAGTAACTATAATTTTTATCTTTTCTCAAGCTAATTAACGTTTATGGCACCGTTAGAGATAGCCTGCGTCGCAGACAGTCTTAACCGACGGACTATACCGGGGATTGTGTGACACGTCCGGCTGCAACGCAGGCTACGTTAGACAACAAAGGCCGTTAGAGAGTGATTAAGATCTGGCACACGCTCCTTCATCTACTGAATAGGTTCAAAGGTCGCATACGCATACAACACGACTTGACGTCTCCCTTGAGTTCCTCCTCCCTTGGCGAGAAGTGTTCTAGAGCCAGTCTTCCACTAGTCTCCTTAGCAGCCGTTGGGTGATGTAGTCACGCAACGCGCTCTCCCTGACAAAAGGCTGCTTCAATCGGAAACACATTAGGGACCTCAAGAAACCACGACGGCGACGGCAACGAGGACGTGTAAAAACAAGAGTTCTAATTGGCAGAACAACAGCTCAGCACGTGCGTTTTGAAACTTTGTACATTTCTTAGCCGTCCTTTGCAAAACAACAACGTGAAATCGCCAAAATTTGCGTCGTCTGCGAACCGAAACCGCGACGGCAAATTATTTTAATTTCCATTTGGAACTCAACGGCTACTTTATACGTCATGCTGAAGTTGAGCTGTGGCGCTGTATGAGACAGTAAGCTCCTGCAGCCATTTTTGAAATTCTAACTAAGAGTAGAAATTCATTTTTTAATCGAAGTCTTCCTTGGCGTCGCCGTCGTGGTTTCTTAAGCTCCCTATTGGTTGGGAAGAGAACGCGTCAAACAACGGCTGCGAAGAAGACAAGTCTTCTATGGGACCGTTTAAGGATAACATTAGAACGCCAACAAATACTTTTGAAATTTCTATCGAGAGTTTGCCATTGTTGTAAACTAAATGCGTTAAAAAGCAGCAGAAAAAACCAAAAACACTGAAAAATAAAACAAATGGAACAAGTTTAAAACTACTTTATTTGGTTCTCCATAAAATCATAATTTAATTTTCAACCTACTTGGTTAAATGTATTCATGATTTTAGAACACCTCTGAGATATGCATTGCTTCCCAAAGGAATACAGTGGACATTCCCCCGAATGACCTACTTTCTTTTAGAGTATAAAAAAATTCGTACCGTGATAACCTATTTAGGAAAGGTCACTTCATCAAGAGAACAGTGTCAACTGAGAACAAGCACTGCATATCTGTTACTCCATGCTCCTCAAACGTTTTGGACGAGTGCTAACTCAAACAAGAAATTCATAACTCATGCGTGTCTTTGCCAGTTTCTGTCGAATACGTCACGCAAAATTCGCGAACCAGCTAATGCGGTAACCAGTGTACGAAACCTGCATGATGCGGACTGCATGTGATTTCTGACTAGTATTTACTGTGGTATTGTTTTGAGTAGGAACATACAAGAAAGAAATCGCCCTTGACTTCTTGCGATCATTCTAGCATTGACTGGCAACTATTCAACAAGGTCTGGCAGCAACACTCAATGCATGGAATAAATATGAATATGTTTAATTCAATTTAAAGAAATTCGAGGTGATCCAGAGATTCTTTTGCTATCAACCGCCGACTCGTGGTCATGAATCCCATGCTTACGAACAATATCGACGATTTTGTTTTTGGTAAAACGCCAACTTTATGGTCAAATGAATTCCCAATAAATAAATTTTACTTCTACTGCTAAATTTTATTGAATTTGTCTGGAATTTGTCCACCTTGCACTCTACAATTTTCAGTTTATTGGATAAGACAGTGCTTCTCGAGTGTCTTCGACGGGTCATATCTACGACAATACCCTGACTCGGCTCTCGAAAAGGGCGCGCACTTTTTTAACTCAAACATAGCAATCGAACTTGTTCGAGAACAAGAACGTTCCTGCGATTCGGAGTCAAACTTAGGCGAAAAAAGAACTTGCGGTCGTGTTAATACAAAGGTGAAACTCACCAGAAAAAGAGAACTTGTCCAATATCGAAGATTTCTGCGAACACCGTGAATATAAGGTGCAAGAAACCACCTTAATGCGAACCAGAATAATGTTCTGACTACGATGCGCTGCACCGCGGTCATTGCGATAGTAGAAGGGACTTTAAGCAGTCAGGACGGCAACGCCGCAGAAGACGTCGATTAAAAAATGAGTTTCTACTTTTAGCTAGAATTTCGAAAATGGCTGCATGTGTTTACCGTCTCATAGGGCGCCAGACCTCAAACTCAACATAACGCCGTCGGGGTTTGCTTAAATTCCCTAATATTAGGGAATTTAAGCAAACCACGACGGCGACGGCAACGAGAACGTGGAAAAACAATAGATCTAATTGGCAGAACAATAGCCCAGCACGTGCATTTTAAAACTTTGTACATTTCTTAGCCGTCCTTTACAAAACAACAACGTGAAATCCCCAAAATTTGCGTCCTCTGCGAACCGAAACAGCGGCGGCAAATTATTTTAATTTGCATTTGGAACTCAACGCTACTTTTATGCGTTATGTTGAGTTTGAGGTCTGGCGCCCTATGAGACGGTAAACACATGCAGCCATTTTCGAAATTCCAACTAAAAGTAGAAACTCATTTTTTAATCGACGTCTTCCGTGGCGTTGCCGTCGTGACTGCTTAAGTTCCCTAATGACTGATTGAGATCCGCTGTTCATGGGCCTTCGATCACAGCCAGTAACCCATTCTTCGTTTTCTGACCACTACTCAGGTTCATTGTATCACGGTTCGTACTCTTCAGGAATCATAAAATTCCAAGACCTTCCCAGGGACCTTTTCCCAGACCTTTTCCATGTCCTACGATCGAGAAGTTGGCTCCAGAACATCGTAATAACGATCAAGTAAAAAGGGCAGTTTTCCTTCACAATCTCAAAAAATATATATTTTTTCAGTAACTTTCCCTTCCTTTTCACCACTCGTACTCACTCAGGCCAGGATTTTCATGATCCGTGCGAACCCTGTGTATCCTACTTATGTTGGCTAGACAGATTCCTTTGTCTACTCATAACCTCAGCTACCACTTCTTGTACCCATTACTTATGATTTCAGCTAAAATAATTTTGTTTAAGACTATAATCTAAGGACGCGTCCTCCGCAGGATCGACACGGTAAGAATTCTCTACTGCGTACATCAGGTGACATCCAACCTTTACGAGTACCATCTTCTGAAGGTCCTAACTGTTCTAAAATTTGTAGAATTTGACGAGCAGTTCCATCATTTTGATCAAACTCCTCATCATTTTGAAGTAGATTTAGTTCGTTTTCTGTCTCATCAACGCTTGAGCTTTTCGACATATCACTTTCTTCCAAGCTTTGACTGTTCGTTTCGCTTTCTAAGCTTAATTCCGCCTGCGGTACGATTACCTCGTCGCCTTGTTGATAACTAGAAATGACAGCTTCGTGTTCGTGCGCTACCATCCGGCTGCTTATAACGTTTTGTAACTGATGTTGCTGGATTCTCAGTTCTTTTCTTTCCTCCAGCATACGTTTGACCAATTCTTGCAGTTGGTTCATTTTGTCCTAAAATCCAACAAGAGAAAGTAAATGAAAAAATTTTACGGGAGGAGGAGTTTCCCTAAAATCTGCCTGTACGGTGATGAACTTTGGTCACCTGTGGTTGGGGGGGGAGGGGAGGGGGCATTGACAAGACTGGACTTAGAGCGAGAAAAATCGTACACTCTGAACTCCTTTGTTGAAAGAAGAAGACTGTTTTGATGGCAATACTCATGAATGTAGGACGAAGAAAATCTGCTCAGCATGAAGATTTAAACCTCAGACCTTGGATTACGAATCCTCACAGGAGGCCAGGATTTCTATTGGTCCAACGCTTATGGCAAATGCTTGACATTTTTTGTCAGATTAAAATTGTGGAAAATACAGAAAGATGTGTTTGGGGAAGGCAAGGGCTTCACCCTAATGTGGGCCAAAAGCTCTAAGAACTGAGAAATGTTATTTCTGTACCACCGACCTGCATGTTGGCCTTTTCACTTGACAACTGGGCGATGATTTCCTCTCGATCTTTGTAATAAGACTTCAAAGCATTCCTCTGGGTCTGATAAAGAGTGATGTACTCCCCTGCATACATTGAAGCCAGAAAATTTTCAGTTTGGGATGAGAAGTCAAAACTAAAGTTATCACCACAGCTACCTAGTACAAAGGTTAGTACGCTACAAAGTCAATGAGAAAATACACGTGACGGCAAAGATGAGGGCTTTAGATGACGACCTTTCGGCGACTAGTTTAAGCTCTACATCTTGTTAGCGCAAAAAGTGGCGCGTGTTTTCTAAGATTGTTCTACGGTAAACACAAGCAAACTGAGAGGGAACTGGAAGCAAAGTTTAAGTAAACCAGAATAGGTGGGGTGAGCCGGACTCTTCGTGCTCACCGGCTTAGATTGTGGTATTTTCAGTGCATCGCGGTGAGAAAAATTAGAAGCTACGAGCAGTATTATGGGCAACGAATAGGAACGAATTTTGCAGAGAATTGAAGTTTCCCTGAGATTTTACACAGCCTTGTCACTGTAAAACAAAAAAATCCTACATGTATTCGTACTTAAACACAAAAGCCCACCTTCCATCCACATTATCCCGTTTTATTATATGGCTGTGTCTCACAAGGACTGGGAACTACCGAATTCACGAATTTGATTGGCTGAAATCAGTATTAAAAGCGGTCTAGGTTTTCCTATCTAGACCGGCATCTTGACCGGTCTAGAAAAAACAGGTACAAAAACATAAAAAATTGGCATATAAGACACAGCCATATAATAAACATCTTATTAACCGAGCTAGGTCGGTCTGTATGGGAGAATCTTGACCTCGGTCGCTGGTACAGACCTCACTGTGTTCGGTCTGTACTGGCGACCTCGGTCAAGATTCTCCCATACGGACCTCCCGCTCGGTTAATAAGAACTAAGTATTACAAAACCAAATAACGATAATCACAATTAAAACACTTCAACATCACCAGACACAGTGAATTCACAAGGGCTTCGTTATCCGGTCCTTGTTTGACTGAGCTCGTTTGAGGTACTCACCAATGGTCTCCGTTTCGTGAGACAGTTGTATGGTGACATGTTCAAGTTCCTGAATTCTTTCGATAAGGGACGCTTTTTCATTCATTAATTTCATGAACCGCGCCTGGAATTAAATAGTCATCACAGACTTGGAGAATAAACACAACGATACTCTCTAAATCGAAGCAAAATACCTGCAGTAACGAGGATCAGTTTTTTTTCCCCCTTATTATAATCGGCGGGAGGATGGCGAAATAGTCGAAAAAAAAAAGCAGAAACTTGGGGCTGTTATTATCACGCGATAGAGACTCCATAGGGCGGTTTGCTTGCCAAAATATCGAATGTTTAAAATGAAATAAACTTTGTTCTTGTTGTTGTCTAACAAGCAACAAGAACACCAATAAACAAAAAGCAACACTTGAAATCTGCTCAACGACGAAAAAGCCTTCAGGAGTTCCTTCGAAACATTACCTGCAGTTTGCTGAAAGCCATCTTGATTGCTTCGTGTGACATGTCTTTATCACTGAGCTGATCAAGTGGAATGTTGGGTAGTTCAGGATCTTCCTTTCTCTCGATCTGTTCTTTCTGTTTTTCAACCACAGCTTGCAGCAGTTGAATCTTCTGCTGCTGCTCATGAAGTTGTTGCTGGAACTGCTCGTTCACCTGTCACACGAGAGGATTCGTCACACAACAAGCAAAACATTGTGTTTTAAGTACACACTTAAAGTTCAGTTTAGACAACGTTATGCTAGTTCACCCTGAGTACCGAAATGTCACGCTAAATCCTGCTAAAAACTAGGTGATTGTCACACTATGGCATGATCAACATCGGTAACGCATGGTGACTAGACTAAACGATTGTGGCATTCTGGATTCACTATTTTAAGCGATCGTTTCTAAGAGGGTCACATCAGTTTAGGCAAGTGGGTCAAGAACACTTATCCTCGAGAAAAGAAGTGCTCAGTTACCATCAGATTCTGAGATTATGTGTGGTTAAATTTTGTTGGGAAATCCCTTTATAAAACTCAAGCTAAAAAACAATAATATAATGAAAGGAAATGAAAAGGGAAGTTTGAGCTCCACTAGTTACCCTCAAGACATAACTAACTTACAACTTCTTATCAAAATCCCCTTAAATTACCCAGCACAAACGGCGCAGACCCTGTCAGCGCAGAATCTGTAAGTAACTCACGGCACCGGAGTATCTTTGTTCGCTGATTTCCTTTGACTCGCGCAAAGGAAAACGCTAAGAAAGGAAGACTTCCCACACTTAATTTAACATGAACCCTCCCTACCTGTCTATATTGTTGTTGGAGCTGCTGTTTGAGCTGCAGTTCCAGGTGTTGTTGTAATCTCATCATGTCGCCTTCCTGTTGATCTTGGGTTCGATGCAAAATGTCGGCCAGCTGGTCTCGCTCCATCTCCAGTTGTCGGATGGACGCAGACAAAGAATCAACCTTCAAACACAGGCATGAGGAAATTGGTTCATAAGGACATAAGTTCTAAAAGTCTTGTTCAATTTCTAAATGAGGCTAATCGTAATTAAAAGAGGGTTAAACCGAAACAATGCAGCGGTCTCACCAATGCGAGGTTGGAAGGGTGGGGGGTTTACAGAGGCATTGCCATATGATTTCGCGCAATCAGATCTACTTGGCTTTCTTTGTTTCCCGTCCTTCTTTCCTCTCATTGCCTAAGTAGTTATTCCAGACAGCAGTTGCCTAAAAGTGCCATAGTGAACTCCTTACTTCGAAGGAGAATGTTGCCCTCCTCTTTCACAACCTTTAAGATACCGACACTCTACTACTATTGGCGAGGCGTTGTAATAGAGGCAAAACATAATAAAGACAAAGTCACCGCCAAGTCAATTCACTGTTTTCACAAATGGCATGCGAGGAAGGAGAGGATTCACAAATTGGTTTGCGAAAGTATCCCCTTTCGCTCTACTCAATTTTTCTTGAAAAAAAAAAAAAAAAATAGTGGGAGCTTGCATCCTATTACCCCCTCCTCCGTTTGCTTTAGTTTTAATACGTCGACAGTGTTTACAACGAATATCGTTGTCAGTTGTCGAAAGAGTACAGACCACACTAAACCACTGTCGATTTGCGACATTACTGCCAATTGTGGTAAAATACGCGTTATACGTACCATGTCTTCTCTGCTGGTGTATTTGGATGGTGGGGGAGGGAGCGGGGAGCTGTTGTTGGGTGCCATATTCATATCCTCACTGGAGTCCGTGTCCACAGGACTCTCTCCTTCGCTCACATCTCCATTCATGTATGGAGATGACTCCTCCAATGTCTTCTTCAGGGCTTGTATCGAGGTCTCGTCAGGAGGAAGCTTCTTGATGTTAAGGGCACCATCTTCATTGTCCATGTGACCTGTGTGAGTCACTGCTGGGTCATCTAAGTCATCTGAACCTGCGTATAGAAGTGTAACCCTTTAATTACCAATATCTTATTTGCAGCTCTCCCTCCCTCCTGGGTATTGTGTATTTCATGGTAAAACAAGACAATACCTTTACTTTAATAAGTTTTTCTATTCTTACCACCTCCTGATAATGCGCTGTTATCGTAAGAAGAAACTGCATGCTGATCCCCCCTGAGTTACAGGTTAATAATCCGCCATTTCCTGTTATCATCGGAAGCTCGACCAAAGATTAGGGCTACTACCATTGTATAAAGTCACAAGTTAACTTACTCTCGCCGGGTGACGGCTCCATGCTGCTCTGGTTCTCTATACTCGATAACATTGCCTTCAGCTGGGAATTTTCCATTGTTAATGTCCTGATCGATTCCTAAACGGAAACCGAAGTAATCATCACCTTAGTGCAACGTCTCCATAAAAGTCTGATTCGTATAGCTTCCGGAGTTGGCACCGGTTTCGGAAGCACAGAAAGACTGAGAGCAGAGCTACTCCCTCTGGATGCAATACTCTTCCATTGCAGGAAACATCCTACACTACGCTCTCCTCCCCTCCCGGTGCCAATCCCTTTCTAACATCACAAGTCAGTAAAATAGTGTTCAGTGTTATCCTGAACTTGTAGAAACGAAAGTGTATGATCCACGGTGTCGTAAGCAGCCGACAACGCATGCACTAGCGAATGACCAATTTGTTGTCATTTCAAGCTTTCAGAACGCTAATGTGTACACTAACCAGTGCGGTCTCGACTTCTTACTCCTCTTCGCTGTGATGAAGAGTTAACGCCCGAAACATCAGCTTTGAAACTCTTTATGGTGGCCAATTAACATGATCAACTTGTCGATAACAACCGGCAAATTATCTTCATCCTCCGTAGCTCTGGATAGACAATCCAAGCTCGAAACTGGACGAAAATTTAAAAACCATTTACCAAATCTTGGCAAACGGCGGAAAAACTGATGTGAAAAAAAAAAAAAAAAAAAATGTCTTACTGTTTGCCACTGAAATTTCTTAACAGAAAATATATCTGCATTTGATTATACGTCGTTCTACGGATGTTAAAGGTAGTTCACTATTGATTCACTAGGTTTTAGAAGCTTACCAACGACCATTCGGTTGATCATTTACCTGAGCTAACCGAAGTTCTTGTTGTAAACTGCTCGCAAGTTCAGCCTCATTCTTGTTCGTCTGACTGTCCTCATTCAAAAGGAACTAAACGTGAAAACCGAAGTTTTTAAGTTTCAAGATGGTATTTTAGGCCGAACCATCAACTTAAAGTTCATCAAGCTAGATGAAATGCCGTTGACAATTTTTTTTGGCGAGCTCACTTTTCACGCGTCAACCCTGGAACGAGGCCAAGTGCAGCCTGCAGAGCAGGCGTAATTTTTGGAGGGCGAAAGCTCAGTTTTCTCTCGGTAACAATTATAGCCGTCATCTTTGATTTTTTCAGCCGCTGAAGGTGGAGGGGATAAAAAAATATGTAACCTAAGGGGTGAGCGACGGTCAAAAGGATAAAGAGGGAAGGTATATGGTGCAACAAAAAAAAATCTTGTCGCCTTTCTACGCCCCAGACTCCCCCCACCATTCACTCTAACTCTAAATCAAACATGGCCGGTGGAATAAATATTGACGAACTTGTAACGTTAACGCGCCCTAATAGGACGCCTGCACTGCAGGCTGGGAAGGTTGCTTTTGGCTTTTTTGTTTTTGGTATGTTACTAATTACAGATACCTACGTGCTATTAGATGACCTACCTGTTCAGTCAGCCTCGCCTCTGATTGGCTTAGCTCTTCCTTAAGAGTGGCCAATTCAAATTCTTTCTTGGCCAGCTACCATCAAGAAGGAAAGAAAATTATGTTACCTCCAATATTATTTTCTCACTGATCAACCACGCCAGATGTCATCTTTTCAAACGAAGATCCCCAAAAAAGTTATCAAGAACGCCGGGAAATGCAGACTAATTACTTTGTATCAAATCTGGTTACAATGTTCCACACATCAAACGAAACCGTTTCCTCATTACCGCTCCGAGCTGGAGTTACAAATAATTTCGTTTCACAGCATTCGTATAACTTCACCGAGTAGTGTCAAAGAATGTTTCAATTCATCAATGAGAGAGAAATGTCACAGTTAACCCTTTATCTCCTGAGTCACCGACACAGATTTCCTCCTAACAATAGCAATACAATAGCAAGCAGACAAATAATGAGAAAAAAGAAAAATATCTATAAGGGGATTATTAGTAAATCCGATACCAAATTCTCTAAACTTGCATCATTAGACTTGTATAGCAGACAGTAAGGAGAATTACTAGGAAGATCTTGAAAGTGAAAAGGTTAAACAGAGTTACCTGTTCTCTAAATGGTTCAGATGATCTATCAATTTCTCCACGAATCGCAGAGATTTCAAATTCCTTCTGCTTGATCTGTGAATATAAGTGTAAAGTAACATTTCAGCCTTTTCACTTCCAGTAGTAATTAACACGTAACTTCTCCCTAAACTATCCACGCAGTATATAACAATCAGAATGCTCAAAGCTATCAGTTGGAGGTTACAATCTTGATCTAACACCAAATTCTTGAAACTAATTTATAAGGAAATGTGTGGCCGCGAGAGGGGAGAATTACGAATCAGATATTGGGAGTTGGGGGGTGAAGCCACAAACAGACGGGTATAACATTACATAATTCACCGAGCGCCAAGTTCTGTTTTGAATGCGACTTAAGTCAAATACTTCACATGGCTCGAGCCAAATCATATCAATTTACTTCTACTAGAGGAGATCGCTAAACATCGTCATGACGACGTGTTACCAAGGGGAACGGCATTGCACAACAAAGGAGTTTACAGGAAATTATCACAGCTCAGGATAGCGTATAATCTTGTAATCAAGGTCAATATTTTAAGGATGTTTCATCATCGCTGTGATTACACCAACAAGCTCCCATTAGGTTCAGTCTAAGAAGTAATGAGTTATCTTGAGAAAGAAAAATAAATTACGGATCAATAACCGAGGTCGAAGTCCGATTTCCTCATCGCTTCACGCTTGGGCCGTAAATGCAAACGAAAAAAAAACGCAAATCCGCAACTTACAATACGTACCAGAAAGCAAGGCCGCTAAAATCTTTATTTAATCTCTACGGTGTGTTTAAAAAGGTTCCACGATTTCTAGCAACACAGAACGAGTCTACAATAGTATGGTTTGTTAGCACACATATGATGTTCCGGAGAATTTAAAAAACTGGGAACCACGATGCGCGATTCTCACAACAGCTGCTGTCTGTTTATCGAGGGAACTAATAATCTGTGTCAAGAATTCCTTTGTTGTAGCTCGTAGTTGTTTAAACAGATCACCAACAGATGGAAACAAAAAAGAGAATGGTAAGCAGCATTCAAAATGGCAGCGGCCGTAGTCGAATTCTTAGCACAACTGAAGGCTATTTTCAGAAGGGTGGGGTTACTCTTGAATTGTGGCAAAGCGCTACCAACCTGATCAAGGAACTTTTGCGAAGAGACATCAAGTTCATCTCGGAGTGAAGATATCACACTCTCTCCTTTAATTACCTGATAGGGAAGACGAAATGGCGGATGAGATGAACCATTCAAAGGGATGGCCAATGCAATAGAACAGACTCACTAACCTCCTCTCTAAGGTTGTTGTTAGCAGTTTGTAGTTCTGCTGCGAGTGACTGAACCTCAGAATTCCTCACCAGGAGCTACATACAGCAAAAGAAACAATAAGCAATTTGTGAAGTAGGCGAATCTCAGCTTGGTTAGGAGCACAATGTTTTCTTCTAAGCTTCGATTGTTCTAATGGTGTGCTAAACGTGGTTGGCACTTACACTCAGTATCACCTAACAGTGTATATGCCTGGGACATATCTTCTCATGTAATGAAACTTTGATGCAGCAAAAACTCAACATTAGGGTAATGTACAGAAGGAAAATAAGCCGCGTTTCATTCAAAAGGATCTAAAAACCCTCGTACATAACACACTGAATCGCAACTTGTGCAAGTCAAAATATACCGTTTACATAAAATAATATTGGAGTCTAGCGTAGGCTGCGCTATGTAAACAGCGGTTTATTCTCCTCACAAAAAGAGCTTCATAGTCTCCTTAATTCTCTGTCCTTCCCCTACTACTAGATCCTGACGACACCTACCATTTGTTTGGACTCTTCCAGTTCAACTCCCATATCGCTCAGTTTTGTTGCGAGTTCTTTAGCCATATGTTGCTCAGTTTCCAAACGTGTTGTGAGCTCCATGTTCTCTTGACTCTGCCAAATAGACAAATTTACAGTGGTTCAGGTTCAAATCTGTTCGCCTTATGGCTCCGATTAAGCTTATGCTCAGCGCGCTCTGGTGTACAGGCTTAACCATAAAAAGGAAAAAAGGCAAAAAGGCTGTGGACAGACTACTGCTTGACAAAGTTTGGTTTTCCGCTGGCTGAGGGACGAAAGAAGCGGAAAACGTTTTTCTCATACGCAGCTGGGAGAATGGGTTCGAGTGTGTGGGGGTCTCCAGGTCACATGGCGTTTCAAGGTTCAGTTGTTTTGTTGCCTTCCGCCATTGCCTGACCTTCCCCACCCACCCTCTATATGTTTTTAGGGATATAGGATTTCAAGTAGTGTTTTAGTTCCAGTTATTCGTGCATGTCAGTCTTCTGTATCTAGGCTGAGTTTCAGCTGTTTTGTTAGTGTTGTAACCCTAATGGTTCATCGTGTTAATATAATAAAGGTCGGGCTGCATGGTCGGCTTGGCATCGCTCCCAGTTGTGTATGAGAAATGATCACCTCCTCATGACAGGCGGCATTTATATTTAGTTGAAAAAGCTGTCCTGATGTGATCAAAATAGGAAGACGACGAACGAATGGAGGATGACTTCACATTTTGGGAGGTATGAGGAAACCAAAGGTTAAAGGAAATCATTGATGATGTTGACCACTATACAAATACATACCATTTTTATAAATCTTTCTTCCAATTCTTCCGCTTTGGTCTTTAACTCTTTATTCTGTTTTAAAGCCCTGCACAAAACATGAATGAGTAGCTGCAGCTTGAAATTTGGGGTAAAAGAGGAGGAAATTTACCTCGCCGTTTAGCGGCTCATTCAGTAAATTTCCAACGCTATTCACCTCCACTTTGGTGAGTAATAATTAATTATCCGAGAAAATGCGATTTTAGATTGAAACTCAAAACATTTAGACATAAACAAGGCGGAAGCTTTCTACACTTACCCATTAGTTATACATACTAATGTGAATATCAACAATTTTAGACTGTCATATTTGAACTAGTGTTGACTAAATCTTTTCAGTAGCTGCTTTTTTAGACCAATTACTGCTACCTATTCTCTTGCTGAGAACACAAACGATACAATGTCAAGCAGACAACTGACGAGAATACAGAGAAATATCAATCGGGGGCTTATCAGTTGATCCAATACCAAAATCCTCCTACTGACATATCATAAGAACTGCATGGCAGACCGCGAGGAGAATTACTAATGAGATCATGGCACTGAAAGGGTTTGTGAAAAAGAAAAAAAAATAAATAAATAAATAAAAAAAAAATAAAAAAAAATCGGTCTACAGACCTGCTGATGGTCTCCTTGTCATTCTGAACACTTTCCAAGAGAGTGGCTTTATCGATCGACTCCTCACCCAGACGGGCTAAAGCTGTCTCTAGCTCCTGTATTCTCAGTAAATATTTCTCCTGCTCCCTAAGGAAGGCATTCATAAATAAACAATGGTTATTGCGCCTTTCCATGGTCAAGCAAACTTCGAGACTGAGATTCAACAACAATTTCGAAGCGTGACCTACTGAACCCTCCCCACGTTTCTTTGAGAGGTCCGCAACATGATGGACGGCAGCGGAAAAACGCATTTCAGTGATTCATATGGAACTTAAAAGATCGACTGTTGAGGAGCGCAGTAACAAATTTCTTGCATGAGTAAAATGGCAGCCTCTAGTGGGACCAGTCATCATTTATCGCCTGATGGGTCATGGGGAAGGGGGGGGAGAGGAGTGTCGAAAGATTTTGGTTGTATCAGTATAAAATTTACCCGATCCCCCATTAAGGCATCAGTATTTTGAAGGACCCCCCCCTCCCCCTCATTGTCAGTCAATTTTCTATAGTCTCCCTTTAGACTCTGTTGGTGACGACTGATCCCTACCCTTCGTTCCCCTTGAAAAATATGTGATCACCCCCTCCCCCCCCCGCCGAAAACAAAAATCCTCCGACCCCTCAGCGATAAATAACGACTGGTCCCCAGTCTACCTCTGATGATGAATATTGTGCACTGTTAAGACCAGAAGTGTACGCCATGCACAGGGACATTTGAAGACTGGACAAATAGCTCTTTTTAACTACAAAACGTACCTCACGAGTGTTGCATTTTCTCTACCCTATGAAAAGACATAAAAATGCATGCATCAATAAATCTTTGTAATAATATGGGAATAGATCTGATGAAAACTAAATGAAAGGACGAGCAGACAGAGTAGAAGATTCATACACGTGTAGGAAAAAGAAAACGCGCGTAATCGATCGTTTAGAGTGATTATTAGGTCGAAGACAACCCATGAAAAAGACTGTGACAACCTGAGCAGGATTCATCATCAGAATCAAGTAATAATTAGTTGTCACTTATTTGCTTTCAGTCTGATTCGCGGAAACTGACTGGTCAGTTTTGTCGTAAGACTCAAAAAGTGAAGTTCGGTTGTAACCTTCGATCTCTCGATAAGGTCAGTTTGTTCTCTTGGTCTTTTGGTTTGTTGGTTATTTATGTAGCAAATGAGTCGTTTGTATTAGCAGTATATCGCTTTGTGATGTCGATGCGTGACAAGACAGAGACACGAATGAGTCTTAATCGTGAAAAAATATCAGAGCATTGCTATGAAAGAGAAGGAAGAAACGAAAAAAAAAAACAAAAATAGGACAAAAAAGTGAGGCAAGGCAAGTACCTGTTGTTGTAGGTGCTCAGCTAGCCTCTGTTTATCCTCTGCTAATCTCTCAATCTCTGCTGCGGCCAGTTGTGTTGATTCTACTTGTAGACTTGCTTCCTTGTCTCGCAGATCAGCTGCGTATAACAAGTACAGAAAAAACACATGAACACAAGTTTAAACGTGAATTGTGATGAGCACGATGGATGTTTTGAAGTTTACGTTATACATGTAGGTCGAGCTGTAAGCGAGTGCTCTTTGAAATTCTTTTAAAAATACCTCACGAACTACAGGAACAGTTCGCTCCTTTTTTTCTATCGATCATCTCATTCCCAATACAGTCGAAACACTTTGCAACAGTTTGGAAAATGCACATATGTTTTCTTAGAAGTGACTTTTTTTATGCAATAAATTGTGACAGACAACCAAACTTCGTCTTTTTTTCGGTATCATTTTGGAAATAGACACACTTGAGTTGGGTTTAAAAGTTTACACTGTACAAAAAAGCGACCATGCATTTTATTAACTGCGCATGTCATCAACTTAAATTGGGTGATGCCGGAAACCATACAAAACAAAACTTAAATGGCGGATTGCTAAAAAAATTGCACCTCCAGTTTCTCAGAAGTCGCAGACACATACACAACATTTTTCAGTTCAGTTGTGTTATCCACATGCAGTTCATGTTATATAAGGATTTTGGACGGTGAACATGTACGTAAACGAATAAAGGCTGATAGTTTCGAAAGAAACTGTTTGGGGCTGCGTCGGTGGGAGTAACGAAATAATTTGAATATATCAACAAAGTTGAAATGGTAGATTGGCCACCGTAACGATTACAAAAGCTGACGTTTCAAGCGTTAGCCCTTCGTCGGAGCGTCCACTTATTCGCTCCGACGAAGGGCTAACGCTCGAAACGTCAGCTTTTATAATCGTAACGGTGGCCAATTTGCCATTTCAACTTTGTTGATATATTCAAATTATTTCGTTACGTAAACGAACTTGTACCAATGCAATGATTTGAATATATCAACAAAGTTGAAATAGTAAATTGGCCACCGTAACGATTACAAAAGCTGACGTTTCGAGCGTTAGCCCTTCGTCTGAGCGAATGACGACGTCATTCGCTCCGACGAAGGGCTAATGCTCGAAACGTCAGCTTTTATAATCGTAACGGTGGCCAATTTGCCATTTCAACTTTGTTGGTATATTCAAATTATTTCGTTACCCCCATCGACGCAGCCCCAAACAGTTTCTTTAGAAACTATCAGCCTTTATTCATTTGTACCAATGCACTCGAACTAACCCAATTCCTTCTGCAAACTCTGTACTGTATCTTGCAGTTCACTCTCCTTCGTAATCAAAAGCCTCTTTTCTCTGTCGTGTGATTCCACCTTAAAAAAGCAGAGTTATCATAAAGTATTTGCGTGTTCATTCGTGTTGGCTTTAGGGCCGACCACCTGCAAGCGCTTGTTGGAAGAAAAAAAATTGCATGCAGCCCAAATGTAACAGAAGAAAAATGGCTTTTAGAACGGAAAAAAATATCCTGCACAGCAGATTGCTAGAAAAAAATTTCTTGATGACCAGAAATCACCCACCCTCCGTCAAAAGTTAAATGGTCGGCCCCTTGGGCTGTCTGGGGAGACAATGGAGTAGCGCCTGCAGTTCTTCAGTCTGCGGTTGACTTGAAGTGTCTGCTGTGGCTGAGCAACACAGCAGTCAACTGCAGAGCACGAGCGAGGAGATCAAATTTGGGAACCCGCGCGCCAATTTCCCGCGCAAAATTTCTAAGGAAAACGAAGCAAAGGAAATTGGAACGTTCACAGAAATCTGTAAAAGTACACAAAGTAAGGAAAACGGAAACTTAAGACTTCGAACACAAAGCTTATTCAAGTACAGTTATCCTGTTGATTTACCATTCTGTCTTGAACTTTAACAAAAACAAAAAAAGTTATACGGTTTTTAAAACACCGTGACTCACTGGCTTGCGTAGTTGTTTTTAACTCATGTGAAATAACTTGTTTATGTCAGATCGCTTAAAAGTACGTCGTCTAGCCATAACAACGTTAGCATAAGCACAGACGTTTGGGCGCTGTGTTGATAACACTACACCACACAAAAAATTGAAGGAGGACGAGGCCAACTTTTTTAAGGCACCTTTTCCCTTAACGTTGTATACATGAAAGTGTACAGCCTTGTAATTATTAGAGCTGATACTTTAAGTCCTAAGCTTTATATAATCTTCCGATCGAATCGGGAAACCAAAACCAAATCAATCACACGAGCCAATCAAAACAGATATAAAAATTCAAAAGTAGCCAACAGAACTGAGAGTAAATTCATATCAATGGCGGCAAGCTGAGGAAGATCAGAAAAACAAGCTTGAATAGGGTTATTTTCGGTTGAAAGGGCAACAAGAGTTCGCTGCACCAATCACAGACAACAGTATATGAAAACTAGGTAGATTCCCAATACAATCGAAAATACTCTCTCCAGACCTATACGTAGATATCTGCTTTTAACCCTTTGTAACAGGCATCAAATTTCCTCTTACAATATCACCTTTAAATCAAGCATCAACATCAAGAGAACATAGGAAATGATCACCCACGAAAGAAGCTCCAGATTATTAAACAAATGGGCCATTTCCAAAGTACCCTTGGCCTCTTTTTCAAAACGAGGCCTGGTGCTCGACCATTCTGGTGAAAATGAGTTTAATTTGCATGTGAATGAAAATTTATTATCATAGGAAAGGATGAGCACCAAGACTCGTTTTGAAAATGATGCCAAGGGTAATTCAGAAATGGGCTATTCTCCCTGTAAGCATCTTAGGAAATGTGCAGAGAACAGCACACTCCTGTTGGGATGTAAAGGGTTAAAAGTACTACTTCAAAATTCATGGGTAAATTCCACGGCAAACAGAGCGCGAAGTATAATTATTTTTCCAAGTCATCTGAACTGACCTCATCTTTCAAAGCCCTTAACGTCCTTTCATACTGGTCTACTTCATCTGCATGCTGTTGTAGGAGCTCTCCTTTATCTGTTGCAATTCTTTGTACAGTATTATTAACCTAGGATTACAGAGAAAAAAAGCATACAATAGTCAGAAATAAAATCCCCACATCTGGCTCACAATAATTTTTCTCGGATCCACTAATTTTGAGTTTATTTTTCAGCTGACTGTATTCTACATCTCAAAAGCCAACAGGTGGAGTTATTTTATAAATGAAAAAATTTCTCATTTACATTACCGTCCATTTGACAAACTGAAAATGAACAAGTCTACATTGCAGCTCACCTGTTCTAATCTACTCTCAAGTTCGGTTTTCTCGCTTTGTAATTGCTCAATTAATTGGTGGCTTGCTGAAGAGTTTGGCTCTCCTGAAAGCTTTAAAAAGCAACAGTTAAATGATTGGTGTGAATTTTCTAAATAAAGAAAGCATTGTGCATATTCTGTTGCCATTGTGGTGATTACTCATACCAAGATAAGCAAGGAGTTTAAGCAGGTTTGTTTAATTCAACCAGCACAAAAGTCATATCTTTCCTTTGAAAAATGTTCTGTCAAACTCAGCAGCATCTTTTGTGCTCTTTGCAATTAAATTTTCTTTTTTCCCATTCCTCACTTCCTTCAAAACATTAGCAAAATGCAAGGCAGCCATTTTGAAATTTGGCACCCCTGCTATAGTCACCTCCCTCCAGGTGATCATAGAGATATAAGATGTAATCCTCGACCACTCAGAGCATGCACGTATCAATAATCACCTGAGCAAATTATACTAACTATACATATAAAAACAAACTGTCTTCAAGTAGGCAGCATACTATACAGTTTGGAAAAAACTGACCAGTGAAAAACATTAGCAGCTAATGTTAAGGTTCTCCAAAATGAAAAGATTAACACCAATTCTCAAAGATAAAATATGAACCCTTCAGTCACTAACATCAGTATGCATATTCTCCATACTGTTCTTTATACATTTCCAATGGTACTGAAAAGGAGAATTTGTCTAACAGTCAAGAGCTTCTTTAATTGGTTATCATTTTCTTTCCTCCTGTGACTTTTATGTGTGATTCAGGGGTGATATTGTAAGGAGAAATTAGATGCTGGTCACTCTTATGCTGATCATTTCCTCTATTCTCATGACCTTTATGTGCGATTCAGGGGTGATATTGTAAGGAGAAATTAGGTGTTAGTCATTCTCAGGGGTTACAGGATTAAGGAAATGCCAGGCAGACAGTAGGGAGAAGTGATATTGCCATCTTGAAGTGAAAGACTTACTGGTAATCAATATGAGAAATTGAGAGGACAAACCTGTTGTACAACAAGTTGAGCCTGTTTCAACTTAAATGATAATTCTGATTCCGTCTTGCTCAATTCTTCACATTCAGAAACCTAGAAGGTTGAGATCAAAACAAAATAATTAATACCTTATTTGTGAGAGGGTTCTGCTTTTCAATAAATACAATAACTCTTTCTTTCACACTTGGAGTAAACAAGAAACACCCGTTATTGCTCCTTACAATATCATTACAATTGCAAGCAGAAAGGTGATAAGAATAAAGAAAAATGTGAGCCAAGGGAGAGTTCTTTTAATTTACAACCAATTCTCAGAGCAAAAGTAGTAACAAGTGTATGACAAACAACAAGAAAGTTGATATTGAAATCATGGGGAACACACCTAAGTGTCTAAAAAGTATCAAACATGTATGTAAGTGCCTGGATTAGGTGAAACATGTCATATTCACATAAAAGAACCAAACATTAGTGTACAAATCTTTTAAGTAAATATTTGCAACATCTAGAAGGAATTTTCCAATGTCAAAAACGAAATAGAAGAGCTGCTCTTTCTTTACTCCTACCTCAGTATCTAAACTTGAATCGAAAGTCTCAAAACTTGGCGGGATCTTAAACCTCTGAGACCAAGAATTACATGGAGTTGTTCAAGTTTTGAGTGAATGAACACTTGATCAGTATTGTATGTTAAGTTCTCGTTGTGCAAGAACCTAAAAATGTACGAAGCCAAATTAGAATCATTACTGTAGGGTTCAGTGCTACATTGATACAAACCTTGGATTCTAACTTGACTCTTAGTTCAGCATTTTGTTGTAAAAGTTCTTCTTTTTCTTGACTGGAACCAGAAACACCCCAGAACATAGTATAGGATTGGAAACGACAAATCAGTTTTGTTCATAAAAATATTCAAACACCCCGAAAAAGAAAACTGCAAAAGGCTAAAAAAGAAAGACCTGTGTCGGGGTTCTGAAAAATATTTTAAAAATCACAAGAAAAGCAAAATGAAAATATAAGTAAAGAGGCTTACATTTGAACAATATGAGGAAAAAGTAAGAATATATACTATGCATATGCAAACATGAAATGCAGAAAGAATTATCCAAAAGTAGCTTAAGAAGTTTTCAGGAGGTGAGTGTTGCTTAAAAAAAAAAAGAATAACAAACAAACAAACAAACAAACAAACAAAAAACAAAAAAATTGCTACAATCAAAAAATAAAATAAAATATAACATTATTTTCTGGAACATCATAGTACCCTGTTACACAGATGCTACGCATGTAAAAAGCTTTTATGCAGTCATGTTTCATCTTTTAAGTAAGAATGTGAAGAAGCATTATGCAGAATAGAGCTCCGTGTACAAAGAAGTAAACAAAGAAACATACTTTTGCGTGTAATTAGCTGTCTGGTATTTATCTCTTTCTTGTCGAAGTTGCTTCACATCCTGTTAGAAAACATGATTGTTTGACCACAGGAATACTTTAGAGGGGCCATTACATGTAGATAACAAATTTTGCAAAGTTTCAAATTTCAACAAATTATGACTGCTGTTCTTTGTTTTTCTTTTCTTTTCTTCTGGCATTTTTTCTATCCTACAAAGATTGAACTAGTTACAAGTGATTTCCCTGTTTTTCAAGGCCCTATTCTGACATGCAGGAGCCAAACAATTATTCAAGATTTCAGACAAACAGCTTGCATCTTCATGAGCTGCAATCTGGGCCGTGCCACTTTTTCTGGACCGGCCTGCCCATTGTGTAAGTCCTTAATACCAGGGTCTTTCTGAAATGCTTTTAAACAAAGGCACATTGGGGGTTGTTCAGGTCACATGATAAACAATTGCACCCAAGGCTTGGTTAAGTTGCTGGGTACTCTGTATCAAACATAACTCATCTGGTTATAATTATCAAAGGATGGAAAAAATAACTGGTGTATCATGAAATGGATGAACTTACATCTTCATGCTTTTCACAGGTTGCAGTTACATTTGCTAGATTTTTCTCAAGCTCAGCTGCTTTTTGTCGAACAGTTTGTAATCTGCTGGTTAGTTCTGTGTTTTCACCTGAGATGAATTGAAGAAAAGACTCTTCAATTAGGTTGACTGAAATACACGATTCAGATCTTGTACATGTTTTTAACCAAGGAGTATCCAGGCAAGGGCAGTCCTAAATTAATTTATACATCATGACAGCGGCTAATGTTTCTGGATCTGACTCAAATTCAAGTGAAGATTTTCTCTGTTCTTCAAATGTTATACAACTGGTTTGTGAAAACTGATTGGACAGTTTGGTCATGATCTTATGTGGGATTGTTGGAACATAATAATGAGGACTGAAATAAACCAATGATAGTGGATTGATAAAATAGTGACCCATGATCTATCAACTTCTAAACTGACTAAGCCTAGCAGTATCGCAGTTGAAACACCATGCTGTCCTGAATCCAGCGCTGTAATACTTAAACAAGCATTTATGTTATTAACTGGAAGACTCAAGCAACATGACTTGTGTTGGTTGTGACTGGTTGCCAGACAATTCCTCACCAACACTAATTCTGAAAACGATTTACACTTAGACTGTTAAAAAAGTTAGTCCTTTCTATTAACAGTCTTGTAACCTTTTGGCTCCCATTAGTGACCAAGATGGAGTTTCTCCCCACAATCTTCATATAATATCAAGTAAACAAGTGATCAGAATAAAGCAAAATGTCACTTGGGAGAATATTAGTTGATCCAACACCAAATCTCTGAAGCAACATCATAAGAATTACTGATCAGATCTTGGGAGTGGAAGAGTTAAGGACTACCATCACCCAAATTATCAGACCACATACTCAACAAAGCAGACCAACAAAAAAGAGAAAAAGGGAAATAGAAGAGCAATAAGTACAGATGTCCATTTACATGCACCTGGCAGAAGTGAATTGAAGGTTATCTTTTGTACAGTAATACAACACAGAACATACTGCCTTTCACCACTGACACATAGTACTCTACATAACCAATTTATTTAACCAACCAAACTTAGAGACCCTTGCACAGTATGCAAAATTAATCCTCAGGGCCACCTTTCACCTATCATGCCACCATTTTGATAGTCAACAGTCACTGGAAGCAAAGTGCACAAAGCTGTAAATTGTGCATTTGCATTTGGAAGTAAATCATCAGGTCCTGTGGCACTGGCCTAAGTTGCACTCAACTTTACATCTACCATCTCTATTCAGTATAATTATAAGGCAACCTACTTTGTTTGATTTCATATTTCCTCTGTAGTTGGGACACAGTACTCTGTAACTCCTGTTTCTCTCCCACTAGAATACCTATTGTCTGAATATGAACCTGGAGAAAAACAAGAGTACAGCTTTCAAAAATATTTCAAAAAAGACAGTAAATCACAAACTACTCACTTCAACAAATTAAAACAAAATCTACATTATGGGAGAATTTCTATGCAAAATTGATCATCTGAGAACCCCTTCAGTGGGTTTTATTCTGAAATTTCAACATTTTAAGAATATAGCAAATCAGAAATTGACAAAAAGAATAACAGATTCAAAAACTAACGTACACTATATCTCTTCCACAACTGCCTAGTATAATGATCAGGCAAAGACATACAGAAGCTATAATCACTTTTACAGATAGAAGCAAAGGCTAATGGCCATCTAAATCGGCCTTGACATCGTTAGTCAGATGCATATTTCAATAGCCATATTGGTTGCTAAGAGAAAAAACTTCAGCAAAATCAATATTTCAAAACAATCATTAAAAATCATTTATAGATTTCTTCACTAAGTTTTTTTTCAAGTTAAAATGACAAAAAAGTGTATTTTTATTTACAATTCTCACCTCAAGCTGTTCTTTCAGTGACCTTTGTTCCAAAAGCTGTTTGTTTGCTAATTCTGTTCTTTCCTAGAGGAAAGTTAATGTAGATCATGTCTAAAGTTTTAATACCTCCATGAAATTCACAGTCTTTCGCTTACTTCCGAACTACAGACTACTGTTATTTTTTTTAACCTATGCCAGTAACATGTACCGTAGCATTTGTTAATAGCAGGCTGTGAAAAAAATCTTTAGAAAAAGTATACATCCAGAAAGAAAACAAATTGAAGGAGAGAAATTACACTTCACCCGTTATTCACACTTGATTAAGTCGTCCATCAATGCAACTAAATACAAATTTAGTATCACACATCAAGCAAACTAGTACATTAATTGAATATATCAACAAAGTTGAAATGGTAAATTGGCCACTGTTACAATTATAAAAGCTGACGTTTTGAGCATTAGCCCTTTGTCGGAGCGAATGACGAAGCGCTAATGCTCGAAACGCCAGCTTTTATAATCATAACAGTGGCCAATTTACCATTTCAACTTTGTTGATATATTCAAATTATTTTGTTACCCCCACTGACGCAGCCCCAAACGGTTTCTTTAGAAACTATCAGCCTTTATTCATTAGTACATTAATTGATTTATTCTAGTACATTAATTGATTTATTCTTAACTAATAGTCCTTGTAAATTTTCCCATCATGGAGTCTCCCATATTGGCATAAGTGACCATTCTCTCATCTATGCCATCAGGAAATCTTTCATCTCTACTGGTGCTCCTACTATTATAAACAGTAGACAGCAAAGAAACTTTGACCCAACCATGTTTCGAAGAGATTTAGCCCTAGCTCCAAGGCAGTCTGTAGAGAATATAACAGATCCCAGCGTAGCCTGGAATGCCTGGAGGAATATGTTTTGGAAGATATGCGATTCACATGCACCTTTTCGTCGAAAGAAGTTCTGAAATAAAAACTCTCCCTGGCTTACGCCTGATCTCAAAAAGTTAATGTTTGTGAGAGACAAAGCAAAAAAACTTGCATCAAGGGCAGGGTCTCGTGAAACTTGGATGCGCTTCAAGGCTTTGAGAAATAAGGTCAACATTGCTATGAAAAAGGCATAAGTCTCACACTATAATTCGTTTTTCAAAAACAACCGGAGTAACATTAAGAACACTTGGAAAGGGATTAATACCATTTTCGGTAAAATACCGCAACCCACCAGAATCCATAGCCTGGAAATTGGTGATACCATTTACACTACCCCTGATGAAATTAGTAATGGGCTAAATCACCATTTCTGTAGTGTAGGGCCAATTTTAGCAAATGAGATTTCCCTCAGCTCACAGACGCAAAGTTTATTGACTATCTTCTTCCTCTGCCACATGTCTTTTCTCTAACTAAAACATGTAATGATATCATACTAAAACTGATTCAATCGTTACCACTGAACAAGGCAAGTGGTCTTGATGGTATTTCCGCTAAACTATAAAGAGAGGCAGGACCTATTGTCTCTGCATCCTTGACCTACATCACAAATAGATGTTTAACTAACGGTAGTTTTCCTGATGATTGGAAGGTAGCCAGAGTCACTCCTATTTATAAGGATGATATAAAAACTAATCCACATATCTTATTAGCCAAGCGCGAGGGCGGCACTGGGAGAATATTGGCCCGAGGTCTTGACAGTACGGGCTGAGCACAGCTCGGTCCGTACAAAAAAGACCGAGGGCCGATATTCTTCCAGTACGGTCCCAAGCAAGCTTGGTTAATAAGAGATTTATTATACGACTGAAGTTCAAAAGGGACACAAGTGCGGTATCATTCGGGACCATTCGGGACAGTGCCCAGTCCAATACTCAGAGAATATTGACCGGCAATAGAGCATTTTGATCGGTTGATTTTAGTTATTGGCCCTCTGACTGCCCGAGTCGTGTAATAAAAATAATTATACACCTATATCTGTCTTGCTGATTGTCAGTAAACTTATTGAGAGAGTAGTCTTCAACCAGTTATATGATTTTTTAATGAGGTATGATTTACTTGCCGATGCTCAGTCGGGTTTTCGACCTTGTCATTCCACTTTGACTGCCCTTCTAGATATAACCAATGATTGGTTTTCTAATACGGATAATGGCCTACTAAATGGAGTTCTTTTTCCCGATCTTAAAAAAGCTTTTGATACTGTTGATCATGAAATAGTACTTAAAAAGCTCAATTTCTATGGGGTTGACTCCATAAGCTTAAAATGGTTTCAACGGCATATCTGACTGATCATAAACAAAGAACTTATGTTAATGGTTCTCTCTCTGATTATGGCTCCACTGTTTGTGGTGTCCCTCAAGTTTCCATCCTGGGACCTTTATTATTCTTGATTAATTTTAACTTATAAATGATCTTCCTGCAAGTAGTCTATCCTCAGCACCAAGACTGTATGCTGATGATACTTGTACCAATTCTGATTATATGACGTCATCTTCTTGTTTATTACATGACCTTGGCTGGCTGGGATACACTTGAAGAAAGGTGTACTAAACAGCTAGCGATTACTATGTATAAGGTGGTCAATGATCACTATGTATAAGGTGGTCAATGATCGCTATGTATAAGGTGGTGAATGATCACTTCCCACTTTACCTTCATAATCTTTTTCAAACAACATCGCAAGTCCATATCTATATTTTCAGGGACTCGGCTCATAATCTCTTTATTCCCAGACCACTCTCTGAGGCTGGAAAACGTAGCCTGCAATATCGTGGTGCTACACTATGGAACAGCATCTCAACTACTTGCAAAACCCAGACCAATATAACTGCCTTTAAAGAATCCCTGCTGATATAGCAATTGCTTTTTGTTGTAATTTTAACAACCTTTTATTTTAGGATTTAACAGCTCTTATTGTGTGACAAGTTGTTGTATTAATTTTTAGTTTTAGCATTGTTGTTGGTATATACTATTGGAATATTAGTATTAGCACAAGTTGTATGATTGTATTAATTATAAGAAATAGTGCTCGTTTTAGATAGCTTATGAATGATTATTTGTATATTTAAGTTACACACGGCTACATGGAAGAGCATATTTTGTATGAAATTGATACCATGTATAAATAAAACTTATGTATGTATGTATGTATGTAACTGATTACAGCCATTCATTCACTGAAAAAATAGTTTAACTATACTGCATTATTGTACATACATCTACATGTATCAAATCATTAAGCTTTTTATATTCTTACTCGTTTTATCTGTTCCTGAAACTGTATTATTTGCCTTCTCTGCAATAAAATAATTACAATGTAATATAATAAATATAAAACAAATGAAACAATAAAAAATGAGAAAAAAAAAAACAAATGTATGAATAAATCAAAACAAACAAACAAAACCCCAGAAGTGTTTAAGGAATGTTGAATTACTCGTTACTCAGACACTTTCATGTACAGTACAATTTGAACCATTTCAATGTGATTTCTAGCTCACTTTTGAATAAAATTGTTACAAATTTTTAATGGTGCAATTTCCTCAATTGCTGCATCTCAAATGATTTAGAATGTACAAGTTACCTGTTCATTAACTTGACTATTCAGTTGCTCATTAGATCTCCTAAATGACTGCACTCTGTCTTCAAGCTCATGGTTTCTACTCTGAAAATCAAGAGGAAAAGAGGTGTTGAAGTATGTAAACAACTTTCACTTGATATTCTAAAGGTTGTTATATCCTACAGTACAAAGATCAAGTGATCACCTATTTAAAAAAGTTGCTGACACTTTGTAGCCAGCATTTCAAATCAATACAGCATCTCTGTAGGACTAAACACATTGCCTTTTTATGTTTTAAGCTACTAAAGGATTGGAGTCACCCATGTGAGAAAAAAAAAAAAATTTGGAAGTATGTACATCAAACAGCAAAGCCCATATGCTCAAACATTGCACCCGTAAAAGACATTCACAGATAAAGTAATTATCAAGTTGGGATAGTAAAAGAAAGAAAACAAAAGAAAAATCAATTGGATACCTGAATCGGTTGAAATTGGCTTTTGTTTGCTTTCAAAATCATAAACAAGGAAATTTAAAATAACACAAAGTATAATTCCTGAAAATTCCATCCACTTCACAACCATAAGCACATGTATAGCTGCATTGCAGTTGTATTTTAAATAGTAGATATACAGGTCAGAAAATTTTACTATTAAAAGCAGACTCACATACCTCCAGAGACTTGATTTCATGAAAAAGTGGATCTTCACCATTGATATAGTGATCCTGCAATGTGAGCATCAGATTAATGCAAGAATATTACATTAAGCTCCATACATATACACTAAGTAAAACATGTACAGTAATCAGGGCTCAACACTAACAGTAGCCCACTAGCCTAAGACAAATAGAAATTCAGTTTTGGCTAGTGGTTTTCAGTTTTCCACTGGCCAGTTTGACTAGTAAAAGAACTGACATTGTCGTAGCATCTAAGATGTCACCGGTCACTTGGTTAGTAAGTTGAAAAGTTAGTGTCAAGCCCAGAGTAATGTTTCAATATTGCAACCATGGAAGTATATTTCCTACTTTCTAGTAAACAGTTTCAAGAAAGCTTCCAAGCCCTAATATATCTGCAGAAGCTTTTAGAATTCTGCATCACATGTAATAAGCAGTTTGTAGCTCCCATTGCATACCTGTATTTTGACATAAACATCTGGGAATCTGCCATGTGCTCTTTGAAGGAGAACTGTTGTATTCGTGCTAGCATGTTTTTGCTACCATAAATTTTTTGTTGTTGTACACCCTAAGCTCAAAATCGTAAGTTTTTGTTGTATTTCATGTGGATTGTAATTTCGCTTGTTAAAGTGCATCTTCTGTTTGCAGAAAACCTGCCTTACTGACCAGTTCGATTATGGAAACATTTGTGAAAATAAATGGTTGAGTTTTTTATTTCAAGTATAATCTTAGTGTTTCTGCCAAATATGTAATTCAGTTATTTGACAAGGTTGAGCATGATATTACACAATCGCATGCCATCAAAATGGAGGTCTGTCTTATCTGCCTTTGGCTTCCACAGACAACACAGACACAAGGTTTTGATGATCCATGGCATCTTGTGAAAACCAAATCGACTAATTATTTTATTAAACATTTTTTAACAATATGAAAAAGACAATTTATTTTAGACATATTGTATGCTCTCTTTCTCAAATTTTTTTCCATTATTAGAAAACAACATTCAAACAAATGCCTTGACAATGTTATGCATCGTTATGTCAAGTGTTAATTGATAATTGCATAATCCAGGTTAATAAGCATTATTATCATTATTAGTATTATTACTATTATTAGGCCACTGCGCCTCCCACTATTTATTTACTTTGCACAATAGTACCATAAAATCAGAAGTCAATTTCCCTCACCTGGCTGACTGTAAGTCCATTTATTTGTGAACACTGAGAAACAAAATAATTATAAAATTACAAAGACATTAGCATTTTATTTTGCACAACTAAATTACAGCATTCTAAGGGTGAAATAAATTCTAATTATAGCCTAATTTGAAGACATTGTAATTCATGGTTACATGCTAGTACTTACTAGTTGTTTTATTTTTTCAGTGGTTGAGTATTCTCTGCAAAATAAAAGATAAACCAATTTAGTGTGTTGGTGATAATCAAAAAGCCTGCAGTGATACAGAAATTGTCATGTACATTTTAGACACTTGAAGAGATTAATGGGTATAGAATTATGGAGGGAAAGACTCTTCTCAAGTTTTAGGTAAGAAAGTGCAATAACCAAAAATATCTGCTTCCACCATGAGAAGGTCACGGGAAATCCCAACGTGAAAGGGGCACAGGTATACATATAACCTGACATTTTCAGGGGAGAAGGGTGCAAGGCAGAAAGTGCCCTCTCCAAGGGAAGTAAGGATTTTTTCTCTTCATACTTGTTTAAACTGAAGGAAGTACTTTTCTCTTTTTTTTTTTTTAATTACTCCTTACACAATAGCATTTCAAAACACAAGACTAAAACATTACACTTCGGAAAATATTAATTAATACAGACATTTATAAATTAAGTGAAATGCTCAGGATACATGCTCCCAAAATGTCATGTTAATTTAGTAGAAAGGTTTAAAAGCATACCTGTCACTTGAACCGGATGAAGAAGGATGATCAACAGCTCTACCAGCAAATTCCTTTAAGAGAGAAGGAATATCTGATCAGTAATAATGTCTCTACTTCTTACTTGTGTGTTGGATAACGCACTAAAATGGTGAGAAGTTAAAGGTTGGTCACTTCTGGGGGTTCAAAGGTTAACAATTCACACAATGACTGTCTGTCTAAATGCATTGATTCGTATTACAAATCTTTATAAGTAATAAAGGTGGACTACCGTACTTGAGATTGAGCGCTGAGCTCCTCTGAAAGATGTGATCTATGAATACGAAACAAAGAGTTAATACTAAATCCATGCTCTGGAGGTTTTCTTGCTTGGTGCCCTTTCAAGATGTTGGTCAGTCTATCAGCAGACAAAATGCATTTTACTAAACAACTGAGATCTGAAATCTGAGGATCATAAACCCCATTCCAAATGACTAAACGCCATCCCTTCCTTAAATTAAATTGTTTCAGAAAGTCTTAACTGGTGGATCAAGTTGTTGTTAAATTGATGAAAAAGTACTTTAATTTATTATGAAGATTCTTCTGTATCAAAATGCATAAAACCCAAAACAGGTACAAGCAATATGGATGTTTGAATTTCCTGTTAGATGCTGTTTTGGATTGTATAACATAATATTCTTGAAAAAAAAAAAATTCACTCAAACAAAACTTAGAAAACCCATTTATTCTTCAAGGTGATACCATAACATTTAACTGATTTCCTCTCATTATAACAAAATCCTAGTTTACTTTTATCCTAGAGATTTAGGAGACTTTCTGAAAGACCCATTCATACCGTAACTGGAAGATTGTAGATAAGTTCACTGGGAGAGTTGGCATACATGCTTAACATATGAATGAGAATATAATTATAATATATAGATTTAGCCAAGCCTCAAAGCGGAGCTCACATTTTCTTTCCTACTTGTTTCGTCAATAAAACTAAAGCTGCTACAATGGATAAAGTGCAAGGATAAGCCCACATGGCTCTCAGCTGCACATGCTTAATGTACCATCCACTAAATTCATCTTGAACCCAGAGTCTCCTCAGCTATGTACAAATGTAGCACACATGTCATGCTCAAATGCCCACTGGACAAGACTAAAGCTGTGGCATTGGCATGCCTGTGGTACAGCTGACCGCACACGCTAAAAGTAGCACCTTATACGGATGCTAGTACAGTCATAAGTCCAAATTGTTTTGGCTTGATGGGTTGCAACTGCTATTTTGTATAATTATGGGGCTACACTGTGCGCACTGTGAGCTCTGCTATAAGAAAGAGGAAATTAACTGCAAAACTTTAAATAAAACAATGTCTACAGTACTTTAGAGCTACATCCACATACCCGGTACTTCATTATTAAAAGAAACCTTGTATGTGTGAAATACATACCCATTTACAGGTAATAAAGGTGGGTTGTGTGGGATATGAGTTACCTTTAATAAAAAAACAAAAAACAAAAAAAAAACAGAATAAAACAAATATGAGTATAGTAACTAAACTAATTCAACAATATTTCCTACAAATGTTTCCAAAAAATACACTCAGTTGTTTATTTAACCTAAACAAACTCTACATGACTTGGTATCTGTATACAACAAAGTTCTGTTTCTATTTGATATCCAGTATCCCTTTCAATCACAATAAAAGAATACAAAAGTGACCATCTTTGCAAATGAATTGTTTAAGCTGAGCTATCACAAGTGAACTGATGATATGGAGGGATACAAGTACATGTGCACGATGTAATAATTATGTGAAAGCCATTGTAAAACACAAGACTTTTCCAATTTTATAAGAAATTAAATTCAACTCATACTGTACTTGGAATTCCCGAAGCTGACATTTTGAGTGTTAGCCCTTTGTCAAAGTGCTGACAAAGGGTTAAAGATTAAATTCCATTGGGAATTGATGACGTTGATACAACTCTTTTTAACTAACTAGGATTACCTTAAGGTTCAAAAGGACAACATTATCAAACAGCACCATGCAAAAAAGAATAAGCCCCTTTAAATCAAAACACATTATTGCAAGGATAACAGCCTTCGGGAAGCATAAATTAAACTGCTATTATTTAGTTTCAGGCAGATTTTAAACTACTTACAATACTTAAGAACAATTTAATTGATATGTTTTTTTTTTAAATGAAAATTAGGTAACGTCCACAAGTGGATTGCTAATTAATGCAGATTTTTGGTGTTACACAGTGCACAGCTGTACATTTATTTTTCAGTTAAAAAATGACCAATTTCCTGACAATTTACAACAAAAACTGGAATTTACATTAAAAGCCTCACTATTAAGATAATTATTCTGCATGCAAGATCACCGGGGCAATACATTAAAAACCAAAGTATTTACAAAAGTACGTTCTGCTAACCTGTACTTCTGATTTGAAATTTTGTTCAAACAAAAAGAACCAGGAGATAATTAATTTGGGAGAAGCAGATCACTATTCGGCGATAATTCGAGCTGCTAAAATACAAACCAACCAGAGAACGCCAAATCGTCCTGAGGTGAAATCAGCTGAGACTGAATATAAACAATGTCTGAATGAAACAAGCTTTGCTTTGGTAGCCCGTGGAAAACAAGCAAGGGTGGACAACAAGAGGGCAAAAATTTAACCACCTTAAAAATTGAACCAAGCATAATCAGTCAGTGGATAGTCACTGAACGAGCGAGTGTGAATATCTACTGTACTGAAGGACAAACTTCCACCTAACACTACAAAACCCAATCACTTTACATTTCAAAAACACGCTACGTTAAAAACTATAAAGCTTTGCGATCTTACGGGATTTATGCGAACATAATCACACGAAAGATTTATACTAACTTCGTCGTCTGCTGTTGACAAGACCCCTCCTGATTCCGACGAACTCGGTGAATAAATCGACGAACAATCTACTCTATGTTTCACATCCCTCGAATTCATCAGCGGACTCGAGGAAGGCGTCCGTTTTTGTTGAAATTTCTTAAGCTACAAGGCATAAGAAAGAAATCACATTTCACGACCATGAATCAAAATAAAGTTTCTTCGCAATAAAAATAATTGCGACTTCGTTGTACCTTTTTTCTGGCTGCGGCCAGCTTCTCTTCCCGACCACTATCATCCATAATTTTACGATTTCACGACATTTTGCCACATACATACAAGCTTAGTTGCCTCGCTTTCACAACAGTGGCCCACCATGCTACGCGTGCTTTGAATTATACCACGGGACCACCACAAGGATTTTCTGGCACCGATCAGATGCCACCACAAAATATTTTCCACCAAAGACCACTACAAAGATTTTCTGGCACCAATCAGATGCCAGAACGACTGCGAACGTTTGGAACTAGTCTTGAAAGACAATATCCGGAGGAACTGTTGTCCCCAGGGGCTCTTCCGCCCTAACTTGAAATCGACTCACAGTCCCTGGGTCTCAGAGGATGCCAAAGGATCGCAATGTTCCAACTTTTCAGAAAAACTATCAGTCGGGATGTTCCCGAAAAGATTAGTAAAAGAAAAGCAAAACAACAACAACAACAACAACAAAAAAAAACGA